GAATAGTGACCGTCCAATGGAACCAATGGAACTGGTCAATGGACCTGGGGTCCATTCATACCAATGGACAAATGTGCTAACCCTGCCCTGATGAGAGAGGACTCGAGATCGGCATGGTCGAATTATCTGGTGGCTATTTAACCAAGGATCTGCCTCGCTATTTAAAAGATCACGTAAAGGGGTATTGGGGATGCCGTGATCTCCTTAATGATATAATTATAAATTTTAATCATGGTGACTACAAATTCTGAGACGTTTACGTGTTTGGTTTTTCCATGTACACGGTAAGTTAATAGATGAGCAAGTCATAATTTTTATATTTGTTAATAAATTGTTGTGTATAGGTCTTGAAGTACAAATATGGGGTATGGATTTACCTGTTTCAAAAGTTTACCGAACGTTTCTGATTGGCACCTTCCAGTTTCCAATCATTTGGGAGAATCATCATGAACTTGTGCACGCACTAAGGGTTTTGCAAAATTTTAGAGTAAGAAAGATCTTCATTCCTTTATATTTAAGTATTGAGATATTTCGTTCTTACCATTATTCTTTTTCATACAGAGAGGCTTAGATGATATTCTCAAAATACTTGAGGAACTCAAAAGGTCACATCGTCGAAATGCACTTTTACGCTTTCAATCTTTAACATTAAAAAAATTATATAGGTGATGCTAAGAGTTCTCCACAAAAATCTACGGGAAAAAATCACGTTTCATAAATTCAGTGGAGCATCATATGCACCATGATCATGACGATTCTGATTATGATGATCCGCCTTCACCATCTCCATCGGGACATTCTGGATATCCTCACCAATTGAACTCTGAAGATGGCCAAATTGATAGAAATTGTGTATAGTTAGGTTTTAGATTTAGTGTTCTTGTAATGTAATTATTGATTAGCAGTACGTTTGACAGTTACTTTGCATTCTGAATAACATTCTTTGATCAACACCTTGATTACTATTGACATGAATAATTGAGCCGGCTCGGATATGGTCACATGACCCACCTTAAAAATTAAGTTTTTGAAAAAAGTTATTAGACAAACA